GTGGCCACTCCCGGCCACCGTAGCCTCGACCTGCTGGGCTCCAGCGATCCTTCCGCTCAGCCTTCCAAGTAGCTGGAATTACAGGCGCGCGCTACTATGCCCGACTAATTTTTTAATTTATTGTAGAGATGAGGTCTCGCCAAGTTGCCTAGGCAAGTCTCGAACCCATAGGCTCAGGCAATCCACTCACCTCGGCCTCCCAAAGCGCGGGATTACAGGCTGAGCCACGGAGCCCAGCCCTAATTTACTTTTAAATAAACTATATTTTCTAATCCAAAAAAAGAAACAGAAAAACACCCAAGCTCAAAGAGGGGAGAATCCAAGGCCTGGCCTCATGAGAACACACCTTTCCACAAAGTAAATCCCCCAGGTGAGTGGATGGCGCACCCCCACACCTGGGGAGGCAGGAGGGCACCTTTCTGAAAGGAAAATCGGCAAGGTTCACGTTTTCTCTGTTGGTGTCAGAGTACCGCTCAACACCCCTCCCAGCCCTGATGACAGAGCACCGTACTTCCCAGTCCACCCACCCACAGCATCCCGGAAACCACCTGTACCCCCTAAAGTTTCTATTTCAATGTTCACTTGCCACAGGCAGAACAACAGTACCTTGAATTATTTTTCCCTCCTGATTCGTGTTTACATTATAAACACAGTGGCAGGAACTATCTTCGAGAAGGAGAACAGGTGGGAGATCATTAACTGTTTTAAGCTCGCCCAGTAGTCAGTGGTTCCATGCATGCCTGTTTACCCTGCTACTGAGTCCTGCCCAGGAGCAAGTACCTAAGAACCCTCCAAGCAGTGGTTACTGCAGCCAGAGCAACCATCTTAATGCAAATCTAAGTACCCTGCAACCTTTCAACGACTCCCTAATGCACTCAGAATAAAACTCAAGCTCTACAGGACCACTGTGAACTCACCTGTCACCATGTGTTCCTGATCACTCCCTCTACCCACCCTGGCCTGCTCTGTATTCCTTCTTCAGGCTCTTTCTCAATTCTTCCCCTTCTGACTTCAGGTAAAATGTCAACTCCTCCAGCCTTTTGTGATTAACCCCTACCTCACCATTTTCTATCCCGGCCAGGCCCCTCATGCCTGTTCAATGCACTTATTAAAACTCACAATGTCCTTGTTTGTCTGCTGGGTGGTTGCCTCCCTCATGAGGCGTTAAGTGCCACACGGTAAGGAAAACGCTGTTGTGTTCACCGTTGTAGCTACAGCCATAGTACGTGCAGAGGAAATACGGTACAGAGGACGAGAGTGGAGCCTCTGCCCCAGGCTATTCTGACGTGTTTGGGCCCTCATGGGGTCACTGGAGATGACCTAGGCCCAATTTGCCTAGGACACTCCCAGGCCTTACAAATAATGCAGGGAGCACACCAGGGCTGGCAAAATCTCTGAAGCACCCTCTCCAGTCCTGCTGCTCTTCTGGCTGTCCGATCCCGCCCCTTCCCCCCCAGCACCGGGCTCAGCTCTTGTGGGCTCCACCTGCTCAGGCTTCCCCAGGCCCCACCCAGCCCCTGGCAGCATGACCCAGAGTAAGGGAAGAGCTTGCGCCAGCAACAAGAGGAGGAAGCGCCCGCGGAAACCCGAGGGAGGGGCACCCCCTTTCAGCGGACACCCTCAGGCTTGCCGGGACCGTGGGAAAGAGGGGCACCTCTCCCACACCCCAGGCCCTGGCAGGGGCGATGCGGAGTAGCAGGGAGGAGTCAGGCATCGGCAGCACCCCAAGTCCTAGCTCCCCCGCGGGACCCACCGGAAGCCAGGCGGCCTCGTAGGCCTTGGGCCCGGCCGGGAAGGCTGCGCCGTCTCGGGAGTCCCGGGGCGAGGTGGGCGAGCCGGACAGGGAGCCGGGATCACGGGGCGGCCAGCGCAAGTCACGGGAGCGCCGGATCTGCCCTCCCTCCGGGCGGCGACAGAACGACCTGGACGCCGGGGCCCAGGCACGAAGGGGGCTTCTA